TTCAAACTTAACCCAAAACCCACTTAGGGTGAGATTTTCCCTATACTGCTCTTCAGCATAGAAGTCTGGCTTTCTTTCCGTGACATAAAACCAAAAGTTCTTTACTTTGGTCCTTTCCATCTCTTACAGTGTTAACAAAAATAGATGCTTATTGCTTTAATAAAGGTTTTGATTTGGAAATTATTTACCATTTAGACTTTGTATGCTCTAATTGCTTTTGATTCTTTGGAATATCTCTAATGCAAAGCAGCTGAAAGACTGAGGTTTAAAAATGGGCTCTTGCACATTTGAAGTAAATTTTATCCTGCAATCAGTCATAAAGATCTTAACTGCAGCTATCACATATCCTAAATATGTAATTGCTGTGGAGCCTTTCCAGTCTATTGGTTACAGGATGCTGGAAAAAGGGGAAACTGAGTACAAATGTAGGCCCTGATGTCTGTGGGTATTTTGGGGGGGTATTGAGCAGATTGGTCACCTGCCTGAAATATTGTATACCTATTTTTTTCTAGGATGGAACCCTGGAATTCAATTGTGCAAAGATTAATAACTCCATTTGCATGGTGAGCTCACTGATTGCTCTGGTGAGTAAACAATTAATTTTGTCTGGGTTTTGGGATCAGGGCATCCACCCCCAACCCCACATGCTCCTGGGGGAAAGACTGAGGTTTTAAATGTGCCTCCATCCACATGTGGATCTGCCTTAAAATCAGTGGTGGTTTTGGTACATGGATGCAGCCAAAGAGGACCAGGCTGCTTTCATCTGCTCTGCCTGAACCTAGGGAATTAACACCTAAAAATACAGAAAAAAACCCTTGAAATATTTGATTTTGAGAGCTTTTAAAAACATCTTGGTCAAATGTTGCATAGGTATGGATTGACTGGTCCATATTTTGAATGATCTATAGTGACCAACCTAAAGTGAAATGACATCTCTGCTTACTTCTAGTAATCTTTTGCTTTCAAGAGAACCCTCTCCCATGTCCTGGCCATCTTTAAAGAGCACAGCTTACAATTATTGAAAACTTAACTCAAAGGAAGCCTCTGGTTGGTTTTTTTTTCAGTATAATACAGAAAGCATGGAAGATTCAGCCCCCAAAATTGCTAAAGACGTTTAACGCTCACCATTAAAATCACAAAAACGGTGCAATTTATTGTCATCAGAGAAACACTTGCTTTCAGCCCTTTCTTTAAAGGATTGTGTGAGATATTTACATACTAAATTAATGTGAATGGCTGCTAAGTACACACCAAAATTCTTCCAGCTGGGAGACACGGGTGTGCAAAGGCCAGGCCACTTGGGCTCTTGAGGAGAGCGGAGGGAGAAGCTCCCCCAAGCCCAGAGGCTGCTGAGATGGAGCTTGGGGGTGGGCAGCTTATATAAACCCTGGATGTGCTCGTTCTGCAGCTACTTTTTTATAACAAAGCCCAAATTTGGAGTCTCTCATTCTTATGATTCTACCCCGTGCTTCTCTCCACCCCCTCCTGAGTTCTTTTTTAAAAAAAAATCCCTAAATTCAGAAGGTAACTGTGAAGCTGAAGTTCCTTGCCCTTGGTTTGGTGGGACTTTGGGATGCTGAGCTCCACCCTGATGGGCTCAGCACCCCGAGGGCTCCCCACGCTCACCATGGATGATGGGCAGTGAAGAAGACAACAGTGATCTGTACTTAACATTAGGTGGCACAAAAGAGTTTCCTTTTGCTCACAGGAACACTGAAATCGATGGGCAATAACCAGCAGAGATTTTCCTTTCTTTAGACGATATTCTCCTATTTTCTCCAGCTTTCCAGCAGCCTTTGAAGTGCTTCTGTTTATAAACTTACTTGATTTCGTCTTTCATTGCATCCCTTTTGTCTCAACCTAATTTGTTTTAAAATAAGACATAACCCAGCCCTCGCTGTGGTTGTATTTACAGAGCAGCCAAAGGGCTCTAAAACGGGCTAATTTCAGTGAAACGCCTTCTGTCCCTCCTCCAAACCAAGGCTGCCTTGAGGAGCTTTGCCTCCCTGGGCCCAGAGGCACTGTGAGCTCGCAGGGCTGGCTTTAACCAGGGCTGGATTTAACCAGGGCTGGCTATAACCTGGACCTTCTCCATCAGCTGGAGCTGTTTACAAACCACGGCTCTTTACTCCTGCTTTGGTCCCCATGCCACATTCATCCTGTTCCTGGAGCTGACTGAAAAATCGGCCTTTTGGGGGTTATATTTCCTTCTGCTGCTGCTGTAATCCTTCTGGAGAGAGAGCTGGAGGTCGTGGTCCCTCAGCAGAGCCGCCCGGGCCCCGCTGCCCAGCGCAGGGGCGGCCGCAGGCCCGTTGCCCCCAAGGCTGCGGTGCTGCAGCTCACAGAGATTTAGCAATGAAATAAATCAGTTTTATGGTTCAGGAACAATGCATGGCCACTGTTCACATCCCAAATCCCTCTCGCTCCCAGGTGCAGGAGGGTTGGAGCGCTGGCAGTGCAGTGGGAAGGCGCCTGTCCACTCGCGTGCTGCTGCTTATTGAAGACCAGAGCTCGCTCTCTGCTCGGGCCGCTCCTCAGGATTCCTAAAGGTAATTTTTTTCCCCCCTACACTGCTGGCAGAAGGGTTGGGTATTGTTTTCTCCGAGGTTCGGCTTCAGAAAGGGGGAGAAGAAAAATAAATAAAATAAAAGCCCGTTTCGCTGGCGATCCCTTGAAGTTTTTGCCGCTTCCCTGCCTCCCCCTGCACCCCCGGCCGCCGGGGTTTCCCCGTTCCCCCGGTGGATGTGATTAAGTGTTATTGTTCCTCCGCTCGCTGCCCTCCCCGCCGGGGGAGCGGCCCGGGGCGGGGACGGGGCTCGGCGCCGCGGCCCCTCCGCTGCCGGCGGCCGCGGCCCGGGCACGGTGGGCGGGGGGACGGGCGGAACAAAAGAAGCTTGCCCGGTGCCCGCTGCCCCGCTCGCCGCCGCTGCCCGGGGCCGGGGGCAGCGCGGGGGCGGCGAGCGGGACGGCACCGATATCGATACACACGGAACGCAGCGGCTCCGCCGGTGGACACACGCTGCCCTGCCCCGCCAAAGCCGCACGGGTCCTTTTACCGCCCCAAAAACGCTTTTTTCCCACCCCAAAGCCGCGGCAGGTGCCAGCGGCACTGCCCGGATCGGCCCCTGGAGCCCCCCGGCCGTGCCCGGGGCTGAGGGGCCGGAGGAGCCCCCGCAGCCCGGCCCGGCCGGCGCACAAACCACGCACCCGCAGGTTTCCAGCTATTTTGTTTTTCTTTCGTAAAAATGTTTATTTAAACCTTTTGGTTTTTTTTTTTAATTTTTTTTTCCTTTTACAACAATAAAATATTGCGTCAATATAAACCCCTTGACTAAAACTGGTCGACAACCAAACGTTACAGCCACTCGTGTGTTTCGTTATTATTTTTATCCGACACCCATTTAGGCTTCTTTTTTTTTGTTGTTTCTTTCTGAAACGTTTTTTTTTTCTTTCTTTTTTTTTAAACATAATGCGGAATTTATTGAAAATAAATAATTGTTGGCAACTGCAATAGGCAATTTTGGATAAAATAGTTGAAAAAAGCAACCTTTAATGAAAATAGCGTTTATTATACATCAGTTACTAAATGAATAAACTAAATGATCTTTCTTTAAATTAATAACTTCCAAAAAACGTTTAATATACAAAACTGTACAGTTATAAAGTTGGCAGAAATAGGCAGGTCCTCAGTGTCGAGTTATTTTTTTTTTCTTTTTCTCTTAATTTCTTTTTTTTTTCCTATTTTCTTTTTTTTTTTTTTTTTAGCGCTTACTGAAAAATACTTGAAAAATATAAATGTCGAAAGGAAAAAATCTGGAGGAGGGAAGAAAGGGTGAGGGGGGAGAGGCAAGGAGAGGAGGGGGACGCTGTGCGGGAGCTGCGGAGCGGGGACCGGCCCGGCCCTCGGGGGGCCGCGGGTGCAGCCCCGGGAGCGGGGGGGGGAGCCCGGCCCTGCCCGGCGGCCCCGGGGGTGCGGGGCTCGGGGTGGGGGGCGCACACACACACGGACAGACAGACAGACAGACACACACACGCTCACACGGACCCCTCGCGGATGGGTGCGTGGCCACCGCACCCCCCGCCCTTGGGGACAGCGCAGCCCCGGGCTGGGAGGGACAGGGGGAGAGGGGGCGGGTGCAGCTCAGCACTTCCCTGCGCCCGAAAAACGGCGTTTGCATTTTAGGGAATTTGTTTTGGTGGTTGAGGGTTTGTTTTTTTGTTGGGTTTTTTTTTATCTCCCTGTTTTGTTTTGTCGGTGATTATTATGATTATTTTTTTTTTCTTCCCCCTCCTCCCTGCCCTCCCCCCTAGAAAAGCTTTTCCACAAATCCAGCATCTCCCTGCGACGCGGAAAGAAGCTCAGCGTGAACCAAATGCGGGCGTTTTCTGTCCTCTTCCCTCCCTCCCTTCCTCCCTCCCCCCGACACCTCATTCCTCTTCACTATCGAAACAAAATACAGAGAAACCGATTTCCGAAGCGAAAGCGCAGAAGGATAAAGGTGTTTTACTACAGACCTCTCAGTCTGGCGCTGATTAAAAAGCCCAACTCATCTTCGGAAAGAAAAAAGACTGGCAAATGCCACGGGTTTGGTTGTGATGCTTAATTTCGGGTAAATCTCCTAGAAATAATTATTTTATATATTTATATATATAATTTTTTTTTTCCTTGCGAGAAGAAGGGAGGGGGGAGGTCAGGCTTGTGACCCGACCGTTTTACGGTGTTGGGAAGTTCTTGAAAAGGAAGAAAAAAAGCTGCAACAAATAAGCCCGTTCTTCACATCGGTGCGGGGCTCCGCGGGGCTCCGCGGGCGCGGAGGGAGCCCCATCTCCTCGGGGGGGGTGAGGAAGGGCCGCGGCCGCCCTGCCCCGGCCCCGCTCGGTGACATTGCCGGTGCTTGGGGAAGGGAGGAACGTTTGGACTGCTCAATTCGATACAAATTAGGTCACAAATATTGTGTACAGTTTGTAGTAAAACACCTCAGACATTTAAAAACGCTATATAAGTCTTTAAAAATGCAAAACTAGTCTATTGTAAAACAGATTCACCTGAAATACAGCTGATATAACCAAGGCGCTGGAAGGTTATTCATAGGCACACATCTGTCTTTCCTTTTCTGTCGGGTTTTTCGTTCTCTTTTTTTTTTTTCATTTTCTATTTTTCCGTGGGTTTTCCCTTTTTTTTTTGTTTTTTTCTCGGTTTTTTTTTTCCTTCCTTTTTGTTTGGGTTTTGTTTTGCGGTGGGGTTGGTGGGGGGGTTTTTTGTGTCTTTTTTTTTTTTTTCCTTCATCCTAGCGGAGACCGAAAACAAACCTTGTCTGCGAGTAAACACCGTGTGTGACCAGGTCGGAGAGAGGAAAAAAAAAATATTGCCGAGGCGGCGGCGGGCGGGGACCCCTCGCCGCGTCTCCCGAAACCATAAGTTAAAGCCCATAGTGCGGGCGGGCAGTGCCGCGGCCGGGCAGTCCCGGGGCCGAGCCCGCGGTCAGAGGTCGTGGCAGGCCGTGTCCGTTTTCACGCCGTGCGAGTACACGTCGTGCTGCGGCTGCTCGCCCGGAGGGGTCATGCGCTTCTCCTTCTGCCGCCGGTTGCAGAACCAGACCCGCACCACCTCCTTCTCCAGCTGCAGGCTGTCCGCCAGCGAGGAGATCTCCTGGGCGGCCGGCTTGGGGCACTTGAGGAAGTGCGTCTCCAGCACGCCCTTGACACTCACCTCGATGGAGGTCCGCTTCTTCCTCTTCCTCCCCTGCGCCGCGATCTTGTCGATGCTCGTGGGGCTGCCGGTGGAGGAGTCGGCCTCCTCCAGCCACTTGTTCAGCAGCGGCTTCAGCTTGCACATGTTCTTGAAGCTGAGCTGCAGGGCCTCGAAGCGGCAGATGGTGGTCTGCGAGAAGACGTTGCCGTACAGGGTGCCCAGCGCCAGCCCCACGTCGGCCTGGGTGAAGCCCAGCTTGATGCGGCGCTGCTTGAACTGCTTGGCGAACTGCTCCAGCTCGTCCGAGGTCGGCGTCTCCTCGTCCGAGTGGTCCTGGCAGTGGTGGCCGCCCAGCTCGCCGTGCTCGCCGCCGGCCTCGCCGCGCAGCCCCGGGTGCAAGCCCTGGCCGGCGGCGGCGGCGGGCGGCGGGGTGAGCCCGCCGTGCTCCAGCATGCCGCCCACCGCGAACCCGCCCTGCGAGTACACGCTCAGGGGCTGCCCGGCGGCGGCGGCGGCGGCGGCGGCGGGGGGGGCGGCCAGCGAGGCGCTGTGCGCCGGGCTGGCGCCCCAGGCGCTGGGGTGGTTGGCGTGGGGCGAGTGGTGGGAGACGTGGGGCGAGCGGTGGTGGATGATGGCGCCCAGCTGCAGGTCCTCGCGGCCCGGCTTCACGTCGGGCTGCTCCAGCGGGCCGCCCGCCAGCGCCGCGGGCCAGGGCGCGCCGTCGCTCAGGCTGGTCACCCAGTGATGCCCCAGCGGGTGCCCATTGCCGGGGACGCCCTGCAGGTACTCGCTCTGCAGCAGCTTCTGCGGGCTGCGGAACGGGCTGCCCTGCTGCATGCCCGCGCCCTCGGCGTGGGCGAGCGCGCCAGCGCCCAGCAGGCCGTAGGGGTTGGAGGCGGCTGTGGCCATGGCCGCGGCAGCCCCACGAGTTATACTGTGCCGCCGCCGCCGCGCCAGCCTTTGACATCCACCGGCACGGCGGCCCGGCGGCGGCCGCGCCGCGACTGGCATCCGCGCCGGCCAATGGGGGCGCGCCGCCGGCCGAGCCGACCAATGGGCGCGGCGCGGGGGCGGGGCGAGCCGCGGCGGGGCGGGGCCGCGGGGCCGCGCGGGCGCGAGGCAGGAAGTGAATCACTCCGCCGGCACCGGGGGCCGGGCGCGAGGCGGCCCCGCCGCTTAACTCCTTCCGCGCCGGGCGGGGAGCGGCGGGGCTGAGGGGGGGTTCGGCTTAAATGGGGAGCGCCTGGGAACGGGGGGGCGCGGGGGGCACGGCTTAAATGGGGAGCGATTAGCGGCGGGCAGAGGTTAAACGGCGGCGCCCCGGCGGCAGCCCCGCGGGACCACCCCGGCGCTGCCCCCGCCCGCCGGTCCGGGCGCGCTCCGGGTGCGCGGCGCCCGCTCCGCTCCGCTCCGCTCCTCCCCCGGTGCGGCTGCCCCGAGCCGCGCGTCCCCGCCTGCCCCGGGCCGTGCGGCACCGCCGCGCTCGGTCGGCAGGAAAAAAAAAACGGAGAAAAGCCCCAAATAATAAAAAACAGCCCCCAAAAAAGGAGCTTCCCGGCCTCGCCGCCGGTAAATCCCGGTGGATGCTCCTCAAAGTTGGCAGCGCGGGCGCGGTGCGCCGCCGCTGCGCGCCTGGCGGGCGGGCTGCAGGGCAAAACGGGGGAAAAAGGAGAAAAAGGGGAGGAAAAAAAAGTGAGAAAAGGGAAAAGAATGGGGGGAAAAGCGCGTGCGGTCCCCGGGACCCCCCCGCGGGAGGAGCGGGGGGAGCGCGGAGCCCCCGGCCCGGCCGGGCCCGGCGGGCAGAGCTCCGCACCCGCGGAGCCCCGGCGGGGCGGGCGGAGGCGCAGCCCCGGGACCCCCGACCCGCCGGCGAGTTCCAAAATGACCTTTCCCTGCATCGTTTTGGAGGTAACCGAGCTGCGTAATTATATTTGCACTTCCAGAAGACTGCATCAGAGTCCCCTTATTGGTTTGAAATTCCATTAAATATATTGCAAGAGCTCCTAGGTTAAGCTTGATTTAAATTTGCATACATTTTCATATATTTAGCAGAAATAAAAGAAGGCTTGCAGCTACCAGAAAGTCATTAAGGCATTAGTTTCTCTGAGAAGACAGATCTGAAGAAAATTCAAGAAAATGAGAAAATAGATCTAAATAAGGTGAGCGCTCCTCTGGTTCCTTCCGAGCCGGGTCCCATCGCTTTCCTCATTATAATAATAATAATCACAATAATTTCTCGCCGGGGCAGCGTGTGAGAGGGGTAAAGGCAGGGCTGGGTGCTGAGGAGCGGAGCGGGCCGGGGCAAATCGCGATATATCGGCGACTCCGCGGGTCCCCGCCGGGCGAGCGCTGCGCTGCGCGCCCGCGGGGGTGCGGCCGGGGGGGGGTTGGGGGGGGCGGCTCGGAAAATTAAATCAGAAAAAAGGAAAAGTAAATAAAAGAGTGAAGTTTGCGGTAGAGGGGCGGCGGGGGGGTCAGCGGGAGGGCCGCGAGCTGGGGATGTCCCCGCTGGAGCCGCGGTGCCGGCGCGGGGCGGTGCGGGCGGTGCGGGGCGCGCAGCTCCGCGGCCGAGCCCGCCCGAGCGCGGGGAGGGAGGGCAGGGAAGGAGTTACAGCAGCAGCTTCTTCCTCGTTGGTTTTTTTAGCCTTTCCTTTTTATTTTTTCCCCTTTCCTTTTTTTTTTTTTTTTTTTTTGTTCCCCCCCTCTTCTTTCCTTTTTTTTTTTTTTTTTTTTTCCCACTCTCCGCCTTCACAAGCTCCTCGAAATAAACATCACCGCAGCCCGCGGGGAAAAAAAAAAGAAAAAAAAAAACACCAAACCCCCCCCCCCCACACACACACACCAACAACATCAAATCCGCACTGTATAAAAACGTAACTAAATTATTTAAAATTAATTTGCACTTTAACTTCCGAAACAATTTTTCAAATCCCATTGCCCGTGAAAATAGATGTTCAGATCCGCCGTTTAATTAAGGCAGAGTCTCTGGCAGGGAAATAAAACCCCGAACGTCCCATTTTAATCTTTGCTGCAAATGTAGCTAAGGCAGAGCCCGGCTCTGCTCCTGCCGAGGCGGCTCTCACCTCGCCTATAGCAGAGTATGGTGGATTTTATAGTGTTTTTATCTGCATATAGTTAAATCTTCTTGCTGTTCTAACTAATCTGCTGGAGAGGGTTTCTTTAGCTCTTTCCTGTCAGTCTAACTTCCCAAGTGTAACAGATGCCGCTCTCAAGCGGTCCTTTCTGCTGCTTTTCTTTATTCAGCCTCGCATTTTTCTCCCCATGATCTGGGTTTCCATAGAGAGAGGAATAAAAGGGGGACCATGGCCACAAATCCCCTGCCCCATGCAGAATAAAAGAGCCTTATTCAATAGCCGACCCCGTCTGGACATGGGAGAAAAATAAGTACATGCAAAGCTACTGTTGCAAGAATTTGTAACTTATTTTTCATAGACCGAAACCCAATAAAGTTTTTTTTTATTATTAAAAAAAATGTAAAAAAAAAGTTTTTGGGTTCGGACTGCGCGCTGGAGCCCTTTGGCTCTGGGTGCCCCCGCCCCGGAGGGACCCGCGTTTCCTCAGCAAATAACTCGCTTTAATATCTATTTTTTCTGCTAAATCTTTGGCGTGAAAAAGCTCTCACAATAGCTGGAGGCAGCCACCGTCCTGGGGCAGCGAGAAGTCGCTATAGAGAACGCCCCGCTTTGAAGTGCGGGAGCTGCGATTGTGTCGAGTCCCCCTGGCACCGGCGGCACCGGGGCTCTCTGGGGTCACCGGCTGCGTGCCTCGGCCGTGGCCGTCCCTCGGTGGTGGCAGCGGTGTCCCCCCGCGTGGGGCAGGGCTGGCTGTCCCCGCTGTCCCCGCTCCGCTCCCTTTCCACAGCTCCGCGGGGGCTGCGCTCCTTCGGGCTCTCCACGGGCTGGAGCTTGGGACCTGAACCCACCACCGCCGTTATTATCGTGACAGAGCTGATTTTATTATATTTAACAGATTTTTTTTTTTTTTTTAACCCACTACAACCACCACCACTCCTCTCATTGTTCATCCGCGGGAGGGGAAGGAGAGAGAGGGGGGAAAAAAAAAAAAAAGGTCTAAAAGGGGTTCGTTTTGATTGTGTTTAATACAGCATGAAGCTCGGAGCGGTAAGCTGTGCCTCGGTGTCGTGACCTCTATATTGAAAACTTCACCTTCAACACAAGTTCACTTTAGAGACAGGACGAGTTAGATTGCGCTTGGTGGGAACAAGTGCAAATTTAAAAACGGAGTCAATCATAACGGGGGTGGGGGCTGGGAAAGGGCAATTTAACCGTTTCTGGAGCCAGGAGTTAAGGTTTGCATTGTGTACATCCAGGCGCTGGGGCTCCTGCTGAAGCCCAGCCGCCCATCAGTGCTGAGAAAGCGGCTCCTGGAGCTCCGGAGAGGCTTTGGGAACACCTAACCAGCGTGGGGGAAGCTTAGGAAGCAAAAAGGAATTTACAGAGTATTAGCAGAAATTAGCCAATACCGACACAAGCTCAATTAGTTCCTTTTTTTTTTTTTTTTTTTTTTTTTGGTCTCTGTTGGCTGCTCTTGAACGTGAGTAAATGCTGTGCAGGGAGAGAGGAGGGAGAGAGCCACACAGCCATCTCCGAGCCACAGCCAGGAGATGGACTGACAGATTGCAAATTAAACTAGTCCTAATGTACGAATGAATGCGGCCCCCCCCAAATCTCTCCCAGCACCAGCCCGGCAGCAGAGCCCGGCACGGAGGGAGCGTGGCTGCGGCTGGGCTGGTCCAGGGAGGGACAATAAAGCCAATCCCGGGCAGGAAAAATCACAAGGTAAATAGTATTTGTATTCTAACTGCTGCGATTTCCGAAACGGTTTGGGCGACTCCTTGCTCCTCTGCTCGAACCGCCTGTTATTGTTATTATTATTATTATAATTATTATTATTATCATTAATATTTTTTCCACGTTGTTGATGTTTGAAAAATGTACTTGCTGCGGGAAAAAAAAAAAAAAAAAAAAAAAAGTCGTTCATTCGTGCACTGCCCCGTCATGTTCAGGTCACTGTTGGGTCGGGTTTAGGAGGTCTTATCTCGAACATTTGGTTGACGGAGCAAAAAACCCGTAAATATTCCGGGAAGTCTCCCCAGAGCGCCCATTTTTGCGGCGGGAGCGGTCTCACCGTCTGTGTGTGACATCCACGAGCTGGGGTTTGCTGTGTTTGGTGCAGAAGCGCGGATGGGGCAGGGCCCGCTGCGGCCCCGCTGCCGTCCCCGGCTCGGGCGGTGCGCGGCGGCTCCGGGGTCAGGGCAGGAGTTAACGGAGCCCCAACAATGCCGAGCCCTTCCCTTCTACGCAGGCACTTTGCTCACCGTGCCATTCCAGCCGGCGTGATGACAAGAACGCGCTGGTTTCATCCCGGACCGAAATCCCGTGGTTTTTTGGTCGTTGGTTGTGTTTTGTTGTTGTGGTTGTTTTTTTTTATTTTCCGGTGAAGCTTCTCCCAGCGATCGGGGGGATGCGCTCAGGGATGGGCGCCCCCAGCTCCTGCCAGCGCAGAGGCCGTCCCGCCTGCGCTTTAGAAATAATCCAAATACAATTCCCGAACGGACAGAATTCTGCTCAGACATGTTTAAAGGAGAATGGGTTGGATTTGAGCACTGGCTAGTTAACCTCTGTTGACTAATGAGACATTGAAGACAAATCGCTCTGTTCCTTGGATGACAAATACCTGCGTTGCTGTTTGGTAGCTTACCGAGCCATTTCCATGTGGGGTTTGGGTTCATGTGTTGTGTTTTCCCTTTCATTTATTTATTTATTATTTATTTAACTATACGCTTTTCCAGCTGTAGCAGTCGGCGTGCAAAGCATCCAGCGATGCTCCTGATCTCGCAGAGGGATTGAAACGTCTCCTGCATTTTG